GAGAGAGGGAGAGAGAGACACAGAGAGGGAGAGACAGAGAGAAACCAGCAATCTTTAAACTCGAGCTTTTTTTTCCTCCCCTTCCCCTCTTTTTTTGTAACGATGTGCTAAAATCTCTCCTGCAAACCGGTAAGTACAACCTTTCTGGATCCTTTTGTTTCCGCTGAGGGTCAAAGACACCTCCTCTTCCAAAAAGAAGAGATAATAATCCTCTTTATTTATTTTTTTATTTTTTTTTTATTACAGCCCTTGCAGAAGAGAAAGAACTTAAGTGGCTAATATTTTGCAAAGGAGACAGACTGATACTGCAATATAGCTCTCATCTCTCCCCCTTCTTCCCAATTAGACGCTGGTTTTAATTGCAGAGGGTATTTCTCTTTTCATGCTTTCAACCATCTCCTCTTTCCCACAGGGGAGGGTTTCATTTGCAAGTTGATCCTAAGGATTTCTGTTCCTCTGGCATTTCTCTCCCCTAAATGCATCTGTCTGCTCTTAAGTTTGTGGATGGGGGGCAAAATTTTCTAGTTCTTACACGAGGAAGACAAAAAGGACCTTTTCTTTTGAAAGATTAAGACTAAAAGCAACGATCGCTCTGAATAATTCTAATGGGCATTTCAGTGATTCAAGGAAGGCTGCATCACCGCTGTTATTATTACCATCCTTAGCACTTCTCTGTGCCCATACATTTAAAATATCTGGTGAAAGGAAGGGTGAAACCATATGTTGAAGGAGCTGCATCTCATTAGTACAGTATTATTTTCATCTGATTGGAGAAGAATGGTGTCTTCATTCGGAAACATATATAGTAGGATAGATAATTTATCGTCTGGTAAGTGTCAAGGCATTTTTTTCTTCCACTTTCAGCTTTTTAACCGGGTCTCCTGCTTGGTCCTGGGGGCGCAAAATACCCTAATTCAAGGCAGGCTGAGCGTTTCAATCCTAGGTGCTTCTTTAGCTGTCACTTCCCTTTAGATCTGCTGATCGCATGGGCATGTGCTTTAGAAAGATTAATCATCTCTAAATGCTTTAATCAGCTAAAATTACTAATATGTGGTATGTATTTATCTGATAATATATATACCAGTTGCATTAATTCATCAGCATGTTTGAAAGGGGAAGATTTTCTTTTAAATTGGTGGTGTTAACCATTTGCTACTTTAACGATATTGTGGGGATTTCTGAAGGGAATCGTTTTGCCAGGGACATCGGCAAACCTCGCACATTCCTTTCAACTTACATATGGTGTATATCGAGCTGCGAGGGAGAGAGATTAAAGGACTGAGATTCAGTAACTTTGGGACTTTGCATGTATGAAAGATGTAGTGCGACACTGAAGAGATCTACCCACTGGTATTTCCCTCTGTAGTCAATGCGGGCTATGATGGCTACAAAGCTAAAATTGCAAATAAGTATGAAATATGTGTACTTCTAAACACTGGTCCTACAGTAGAAAACATGTAAAGATGCAACACGTTCAGCCCGTGTGCTCACGTTGCTGTGTGGTCTGCGTGTGCTGTCCTCCTTATAGGTGGCATTTACCAAATGGGGTGGGGGGATAAGGGAGGCTGGTATCGCGTGATTAAACCTTACAACATCTCTTGAGTATAAATCAGGGCAAGGCTCACCCATTCGACACCCCTAAGAGTTGATTGTGAATGTCTGCCCAACAATTGGTGAACTTTCCAGGAGCCTAACACAAGTGTAGCAGGTAGGGGCTTAGTAAAGGAGCAGGGCAGGACAGACATACTGACATCTGCGTTTTTCTTCCTGTTGCAGTTTTATAAACATCAACAAATGATGAAACGTGCCATGGCAGAGACGCTTCATAAAGGAAGGATGTTGTGGATAATTCTTCTAAGCACAATTGCTCTAGCATGGACTACACCAATTCCCTTGATAGAGGACTCGGAGGAACTCGATGAGCCCTGCTTTGATCCATGTTACTGTGAAGTGAAGGAAAGCCTTTTCCATATACATTGCGACAACAAAGGATTTATAAATATTAGCCAGATAACAGAGTCATGGTCGAGACCTTTTAAACTTTATCTGCAGAGGAATTCCATGAGGAAATTGTACACTAACAGTTTTCTTCACTTGAACAATGCTGTGTCTATTAACCTTGGGAACAATGCACTGCAGGACATTCAGACAGGGGCTTTTAATGGGCTCCGAGTTCTGAAGAGGTTGTATTTGCACGAAAACAAATTGGACATTTTCCGAAATGACACTTTCCTGGGTTTGGAAAGTCTGGAATACCTGCAGGCAGATTACAATGTCATTAAACGGATTGAAAGCGGGGCATTTCGAAACCTAAGTAAATTGAGAGTCCTTATCCTAAATGACAATCTTATTCCCATGCTTCCCACCAACTTATTTAAGTCTGTGTCCTTAACTCACTTGGACTTGCGCGGAAACCGGCTAAAAGTCCTTTCGTACCGCGGGATGTTGGACCATATTGGCAGGAGCCTGATGGAGATCCAGCTGGAGGAGAACCCGTGGAACTGTACGTGTGAGATTGTGCAGCTGAAGAGCTGGCTGGAGCGCATCCCCTACACTGCCCTCGTGGGGGACATCACCTGCGAGACCCCCTTCCACTTCCACGGGAAGGACCTGCGGGAAATCAAAAGAAGCAAGCTCTGCCCCATGCTGTCTGACTCCGAGGTGGAAGCCAGCCTGGGCATCCCTCAGCTGTCGTCCAGTAAGGAGAACGCGTGGCCTACGAAGCCTTCCTCCATGCTGTCCTCCTTCCATTTCACCGCTTCCTCTGTTGAGTACAAAACATCCAACAAGCAGCCCAAACCCACCAAGCAGCCCAGGGCACCCCGGCCTCCCCCAACACCCCGTGGCCTGTACCCTGGGCCGAACCAACCACCCGTGGCTGCCTACCAGACCCGGCCCCCCATCCCCATCATCTGCCCTACTGGCTGCTCTTGCAGTTTGCACATCAACGACCTGGGTCTGACGGTCAACTGCAAGGAGCGGGGGTTTCACAACATCTCCGAGCTCCTGCCCAGGCCCTTGAATGCCAAGAAGCTGTACCTGAGCGGGAATTTGATCCAGAAGATATACCGCTCCGATTTCTGGAATTTTTCCTCCTTGGATCTCTTACACCTGGGGAACAACCGGATTTCCTATGTGCAGGACGGGGCCTTTATCAACCTGCCGAATCTCAAGAGCCTGTACCTGAACGGCAATGACATCGAGCGGCTCACCCCGGGCATGTTCCGGGGCCTGCAGAGTTTGCATTACCTGTACTTCGAGTACAACTTGATCAGGGAAATCCAGCCGGCAGCCTTCAGCCTCATGCCCAACCTGAAGTTGCTCTTCCTCAATGGCCCGCCTCAACCTGCGCAACAACCACTTCTTGGCGCTGCCGGTGGCCGGGGTGCTGGAGCACCTCCACGCCATCGTCCAGATCGACCTGAAGCTCAACCCTTGGGACTGCACATGCGACCTGGTGCCGCTGAAACAGTGGCTGGAGGCCCTCAGCTCGGTCAGCGTGGTGGGCGAGGTGCTGTGCGCCAGCCCAGATCGCCTGGCCCG